AAAAAAAAAAAAAAAAAAAAATGCAAACTCTGATCCAGCAGGATGGGCAGGGCCTGAGCTTCTGCAGTGATGCTGACACTTCCCATCCAAGGACACAGTTTGGGTAGCAAGGGCTCTTGGTTTCCAGTCCTTTTCAGAGCATGGTGTGCATAAAAACACCTGTGTGGTGCACTGGTTAGCCTGCTCGGCTCCTAAAGCCTCAGATACTTTGGGGCTTCTGGAATCAACGTCCTACTCCCTTCTAGCCCTCTTGAGTAACCTCAGGGTGGGCCAGGGTGCACCTGTTGAGAGGAGAGAAAATGGCAACTCTGACACATCTGATCTATACATCCCTCACTCTGTCATCCTGGGACTCCAGACCGTACCTCTCTGTGTTTGTACTTGAGGTGATGTATGTTCAGATATGTGCAAGCACACTCGTGCACACACACACACACTTACACACACACAGACATTTTCCCTAATGTACATCATGCTGCTGAAAGAGTTGAATCAAAGAGAAAAGGCATTAGGCACCTACCATGCCCAGTGCTAGTTCTCTCACGCAACCAGACTTCTGTGAGTATGTCCCCTTTGGGGCCTTTTTGTCATCTGTTTTAATCTGTCCCCTCCTTGAGTCTGTCAGAGATAGTCCAAAGACTTTTCTATAAAGTAGCCTAAAGAAGAAAAAGAAAAGAAAACAAAATAAGCCAAACTAAAACCCAAAAGGCTGTTATTTTTCATAAGGCTGCTTCCCAGCAAACCATGGAGATAAAGGGGGGAAGGTCTTTCAACTCAGACAGGCGGCCATGTCACCCTTTCTCAGAGCGGTGCCTCTGTGCCTTGCTTTTTACAACTAGAAGAGTCTTCTCAAATGGTCCTCCCAGAACAAAGAAAATCTGTTCTGATGTCTCCGTGCTGTAAATAGAGGCATCTGTGGCTGTGAGCTTTGCTGAAATAGTTACTAAAACATGCAGCTGAGTCTGTCTTGGCTGCACCACTTCCCACCCACCACACACCGTGAGTTGGCTCAGAAAATGCTGCATAGAAACGGCAATCTCTGAGGCATCCCGGGCCCTGATCTCTATCTGGCTAAAGTGCCTCTCCTTTCTCTCCAGATCCATATTCAAGCCTTTCATCTTTGTTGATGATGTAAAACTTGTCCCCAAAGCACAATCTCCTTGTTTTGGGGACGATGACCCTGCCAAAAAGGAGCCTCGGTTCCAGGAGAAACCAGACCGCCGGCATGAGCTGTACAAGGCCCACGAGTGGGCACGTGTTGTCCTCGAAAGTGGCCAGGTGAGCGTGGGTGAGGGCCGGGTGGGAGGGTGAGGTCTGGGAGGGAGGATGCAGAGAGGGAGGTGACACACCAGCCCCTCCCTTGCTCTCCAGCACGTTTAGTCTTCTTCCAGGATCTAGGCTCTTGAGGTCCTTCCTAGAAGGCTGGTGTTAATTTTCCTGCCCAGACTCTTGAAATCAAGTGAACTTCTCAAGTTATTCTGAAACTCAGCAGGCTTAGAGCATTTCGTTTTCATTTACTGTTTACTTAAGAATGATAGAAATATATAGTTCTGGGAGGGATTGCTGTTTAACTGCTGTCTAAAATTCTTTGTATACTCTTGGGGGTGAAAAGTTATATTTGACGGGAACATTTCATTTAAAGTTAAAATCAGGGTGGTGCCTGTGGCTCAAAGGAGTAGGGCACCAGTCCCATATGCTGGAGGTGGTGGGTTCAAACCCAGCCCTGGTCAAAAACTGCCAAAAAAATAAATAATAATAATAAAATAAAGTTAAAATAATATGTTGCTTCAAAAAAGTAATTCTTTCAAAAAGTTTTAGTTACGGATGGTGGTGCTGATTGCACAATATTCTGAATACTTAATGCCACTAAACCATGTATTTAAAGATGGTAGGTTTTTACACATGTTTTATCATAGTACGGGGTTTTAAAAAAGATTCTGAAGTTTCCAGTTTAAAAAAATATGTTTTTGAGACAGTCTCGCTCTGTCACCTTTAGTAGGGTGCCTTAGAGTCACCATAACTTACAACCTCAAACTCTTGGGCTTGAGCAATCCTTTTCCTCAGCCTCCGAAGTAGCTAGGACTATTAGCCTGGCTAATTTTTCTTTTTTTAGTAGAGATGGGGTCTCACCCTTGCTCAGCTGGTCTCAAACTCCTGAGTTCAAGTAATCCACCAGCCTTGGCTTCCCAGATTGTGGGATAATAGGAGTGAGCCACTGTGCCCAGCCATTAAAAAAAAAAAAAAAATTCTTAATAGTGCAATTCTTTCTCCCCTCAAACCTTTGGTTAATAAAATTATAAGACATCAAACAAAAATACCCAATGCATGATCCCTAGCACCCGTTATACCCACAGCAGTCGTTATTATGGATTTTCATATGAAATCCAAGTGTACATTTTATTGAAGACAAGAAGAAAGAATGTGGTTAGATACTCATGTGCTCTCCCCACCATGTATGTAACACCTTTATTTTATTTATTTATCACCCTCGGTAGAGTGCCATGGTGTCACAGCTCACAGCAACCTCCAACTCCTGGGCTTAGGTGATTCTCTTGCCCCAGCCTCCCGAGTAGCTAAGACTACAGGCACCCACCACAATGCCCAGCTATTTTTTTTGTTGTAGTTTGGCTGGGGCTGGGTTTGAACCCTTAGTATATGGGACAGGCGCCCTACCCACTGAGCTGCAGGCGCCACCCTGTGTAACACCTGTAATAGGTTCAATTTGTCCTGAAGAAAATAGAGACCTTTCAGGTATATTGGTGTGTAAAGTTCTTGTGGACTGGGTGAGCTGTTTTGCTGACAGTATACATGGCCATGTCCTTCCTCAGGAGCAAGGTCACAAGCTGAGGAAGACCATGCTGGAACTGGAGAAGCAAGGTCTGGAAGCCATGGAAGAAATCCTGACCAGTTCTGACCCCCCAGACCCCACGGAAGTGGGGGATCTTTTCTATGACTGTGTAGACACGGAGATTAAGTTCTTTAAGTGAAGTAAGCATTCCCTTTTCCCTTCTTATTTAAAACTTCCCACCTTACTAAATTACCAGCGAAACAAACCACTCTCCTGTTTGAGTAAAATGAGAACGTTAAGATGTGGCCTCCTTTTCTGAAGCCGGACAGGACTGTCTCCTCGTGTTCTGCCTCGAGTCTCACACCCCCCCTTCCTCTGCAGTGTAACGCGTATCCCATTTACCTGTCGTTCAGTTGTGTGACTAACTGTGGATTTAAGCTGCTATTATTGTACTTCAGTGACAATGGACACATTAGCCTTTTACAGGGGGACTAGAGTTCATGGGGCCTTGAAAGGCAGGCTCCACAATGCCGAGCTGGCGGGAAAAGCAAACGCTTTTGAAGTCTCAGTCTCTCTCAGTAGTGGTTTCTTTCAGGTGAACAGAAAGCGTTTGTCTGCACACACAGGCCCCTTGTGTGCGGAGCCGAGGGAGAACCTCCCTGGCTTCCCTCAACCTGCGTGCACGCCTGTGGGGCACAGTGTCCCCGAGGGGTCTTCTGGGGGACAGAATAAAAGGTGGCTCCCCTCCAATCCCACCTCCTTCCTGAGTTGTGTGACCCTGAGGAAACTATCTTCCCTTCACTGTGGTGGGTCTGCTGAACTCCCTGTGTGGGCAGGAGAGCTGGTGTCTGTGAGAGCTGGAACCCACCCACTTTGCAGACTCCAAGTCACCGTGTGGATCTCTGAAAGGCCCAGCTGCACACCTGCCACAGGCCTTGTGTGGAAGTGATTCCCGGCCTAGTTACCAGCGTCTTGCCGAGGATTATTTGAGTGGCCCTGTGGCATAGTTCCACCCCACAAAGCTGTGAATCTCTCAACTAATGAGGGAAAGAAAAGCAGGAACTCTCTGACTATTTAGATTCCATTTAAAAGTAGCTGGAATCTGAGCAGTCACTGCATTAGCTCAGCAGAGAGATTTTAATTGAACTCATTTGTTTCCAATGTTCACTTAAAGGATTTGACTTTCCACCAGGGCATAGAATAGCATATGAGGAAGACCAGATGGGCTTAGCATGGGGAAGAAAGAGGGCAAGAAGGCACCAGATGGATGTGAAAGCATTTCTCTACAGGGTACCCCTCATGCTTCTGCCCGGCCTGCGTATCCATAAATCTGCATACTGCCGTCCCCAGTCTTCCCCCAGAGCCTTATAGCTCATATGCCCCAGTGGCTGCCTTTGTTCAGACTGGTAGCTGAAGTGGGTAGGTGGTGGCAGTGGTGGGGGTTACCTCTACCTATTGAAACTCTTAACCACTCCTGGAATGTGCAGAGATGGTTTTCAGAAGTGCGTATTAATATAGCAGCTAGTGGGAGGGCACTGTTGGGCCTAACTCTGCTTCATCATTCTTGTCAGGACTCTGCAGATGGAAATATTGTGAGTATCTGTAGTCTCAGAAGTAAGTTAGAGGTAGCAACTTCTCAGCAGCAGTATCACAGGCCATGAGAGCTGGCAGGGACCCAGCCCCTCATTAAATAGGTGTAAACACTGAACATCAGAGGGCTTATCAGAACAAAAATATTTTCTACCAGCCCCCCAGAACATGAGTATAGGACTGTCACGAGCTTTTTGCTCAGCAGTTCTGTCAATTCTGCACATAAAACCATAACCATAAGTGGTGAGAGGTGGGAATATTTCAGCTGACTAAGTTAGTGGTAACCAATAATGGTGGCCTGTCATTGCCAAAAGATTTGTGCAAATTTTGCTTTGGATTTCACTCCTGATGAATTTAGGGTGTCTTCTTGGGTAGAGCAGCCATTCTGAAGGCACACATCTGCAGCTGCTACACAGGATAGGGTGATGTAGGTACCTGTCCCCTCTCAAGTCCACCTGCTTAGTGGATGTTTAAAGCAAGATGATGCAGAAATCCACTATAAAATTTCAACATGGTTTCATGTTGACTTATTATGGAAACATTTCATCAGACCTGACCTGTCTGAGGCAACTAGAGTGATTTGGGGTTTGAACAAAAGATGTCTAGTGAGAATAAATTACACAGAGGCCTGCTTCCAATCCTATGGGCCAAACCAAGGTCATGGATAACCATGCTGGCTTTAGGTCATTACCCACTCCATGCAGTGGGAACATCATGGCAACTTCTGTTAGGGGACATTGAGCTTGATCAGGCATCTCAGAAAGGGACCAATTAATTGGGCATTGTCTTGGCTAATTCAGTGTACACAATTGTGATATCCCTTCTTACCACTAGAGGGCATGACAGCCCTCTTTGGTGCAACCTGGCAGCCCTTAAGCTGGGTGTGGTCACTCCCATCAGGCCTGGGGTGGTCTGTGTACCCACTAAGAACTCCAATGATGGTGGTGGGACCGACCCATAGGGAAAGACAAGAAGACAGGAGAGGATTCTTCTGATGTGGCAGCACTGTCTTTCATGACTTTTATTATAAACAATTGGAAATATGTTGAAGGATTTTTGGCTGTTGTAGTATGAATTTAAAAACAAGCAAACAAACAAAAAACTCCAGGCATTTTTGCTTTGGAAAAATTGCTTTTTACATGGATAATTTCTTGACCAGGGATTGCTTTTCTGAAGGCAATATGGGGAAAATGAACATTTTGCCCAAGAGATAATGTATGAAAAGAATGCTTAAAGGTCACAGTGTGTAAATAGCATCCTAGAATCTCATTTGTGTAGCTATTCAGACTTCAGGGGACCTGTGCATGCTTTGTGCAGAAGGGAGACATGGCCAGACTGGACAGACTCTCTCCCCCACCCTTGTACCCCATAACCAGACAAAAGCTAGTGAGTTTTGTCTAGCAGATGGGATTTACAAAGATAGCCCTAATACTGAAGGACAGAGGCTCCAGTAAAAGTAACTTAGCAAAGCAGAACTAGAGTACCATTTCGTTCTAGGAGCTGCTTTGAAACTTTAGGTAGAATAAAGATATAACTGAAATTATAAAGATTCTTTAGTACCCAATAACATAGGACCCAGTATTGTTATTAGAAGGAGGCTTTCTTACAAGCTAACACAGCTGGTATATGCCTATTAGATTTTAGCAGTGGAGTTCCTTTACTATTGGGTGAATAGGTATAAGAAATAACTACCCACCAGGGAAATTACTTTGCTTGCTAACTGATATCATCCCACATTGGTGCAGGTGGTGTACAATTCTGGTCCAGCAGGGAAGCCAGATGGGGCCAGGTATCTGTCATGAGACCGCTAAATGCATGCTTGACTGAAGATCCACCCATCATTTACTGGGAAGGTCTTCAGATGAGTTCTTAGCTTCAGGAAGGAAGCACACAGAGGAGGGAAGTCTGAGGGGAGGGAGCCCCCTTGCTGGACATGCTCGTGGGAGGTGGAGGAGCAGCAGGTCACTTGCACGTGCTGCCCTGGCTCTATGCTTCCTCATAGCTGTGGCCTTTCACTTCCCACAGTCCTAAGTCCCAGCTCCCCTTCTATGGTTTCTGTCAAAATGTGCTTTATCTGAACAACTTCAAACATCCTGAAATGTCTCCTGCAGATTTCTCATGGGAACTAATATGTACATGTTTGCAATCATGTTATGAAAATTTAAATATGTGAGATGGAAAATGCTGTTGGCAGGGAATAAAAAAACATATTTGTGTTTCCTGCAGTGGGAACTGACTATGTAATCTTTAACTGTCTTTTGTACAAGTATCTACGAACCAGATAACATCCCTATCCAGTGCTTGCCGTTGGAATTGTCTCTAAATACATCAAACACGTAATAATAAAATACTGAAATTAATGTCTAGTGGGCTCTTCTGTCTTGTGTTTCATGAATAAACATGGACATTAGCCTCAACATAGGAAGAATATGAAAGAGGATGTGTTTTTCTGACTGGAATCTTTAGAAAAGGTAAGTGGTTTAGTATTTACCTGCATTATATACTGTTCTGGGGGTAAATTCACTCTCTAAAAATAAACACAAAACCACAATAAGATATCACCTCATACCCACCAGGATGGCTACTACTATATACAAAAAAAAAAAAAAACACACAGAAAATAACAAGTGTTAGAGAGGTGTAGAGAGATTGGAATTCTTATGCACTGTTGGTGGGAATGTAAAATGGTGCAGCCACTGTAGTAAACAGTATGGAGGTTGTTCAAAAGATCAATAATGGAAATACCATATGACCTGGTGTTTTCACTTTTGGATATATACCCCAAAGAATTGAAAGCAGAGCCTAGAAGTGATATTTGTACACCCATGTTCCTAGCAGCACTGTTCATAATAGCTCGAATGTGAAAATGAGTCAAGTATGTACAGATGGTGAAAGGATCAACAAAATGTGGTATGTCCCTACAACGGAATATTACTCAGCCAAAATATGTCCTCGGAAGGACATTCTGACTTATGCTATTAATATAACATGGAAGAACCTTGAGGACATTATGCTAAGTGAAATGAATCAATCACAAAAGAACAAGTATCACATGATGCCATTTACATAGGTACCTAGAGTAGTCTAATTCATAGAGGTAGAAAGTGGAATGGTGGTTGCCAGGTCCCGGGGAGAGGAGGAAAGAATAGGAGTTATTGTTTAATAACAGAATTTCAGTTTTGTGAGATGAAGAGTTATGGAGGTGCATGGTGATGAAGGCTGCCATACAATATAGATGTACTTGACTGAACTGAGCACTAAAAATGTTTAACATGGTAAATTTTATAGCATGTGTATTTTACCAAAAAATTTTTTAAAAAGAGATAAATAGTAGTGGTAATGCATGGAATCTGAAGGCTAGAATGTCAGCACGGCTGGTGCTCTGTATGCCAACTACTTTTATCCTAAAGCCTTGGCAACTCTGCCACAGGAGAGGAAGCCACATGAAAAAAAAAAAGCCAACTCTCCACCACTCTTGTGACCCAGAGATGCCAGATTGCTTCCAGGATCCTGCCTCCACTGGGACAGCAAAAAAGCAAGTGAGTGTCTTGTTCATGAAAATAGGACTTAGTCTCCTGCAATAAGGGACTTATTTCAAAGTCAGAGTAGATGACTGCCCCATTCATATGGGAAGGAATTGCTAATCTTTACATTTTATCCTCAGCTTCCTTTTCATAGACAAACTACTCCTGTGCAGCTCCAAGATGACAGTATGTGTATGTATCAGCTTGTGAGTGCTGCTGTTACAAAGTACCACGAACTGGGTGGTGTAAGTAGGAGACATCTCTTGTCTCACAGTTCTGGAGCCTAGAAGTCCAGCAGGGTTGGCTCCTTCTGAGAGCTGCGTAGAGTCCGTTCCGTGTCTCTTGCCCAGCTTCTGTTGGGTTTCTGGCAAGTGTCAGCATTTCTTGGCCTGTAAGGTGCATGATCTTGATCTCTGTCTGTCTTCATTTTCACTTTGTTCACATTTCTCCATTTTATAAGAACACCAGTCATAGTAGATTAAGGGCCCACTCTATTCCATTATGACCTCATCTTTAATTACATTTGCCATGACCCTATTTCCAATTAAGGCCACATTCTGAGGGACTAGAGGTTAGGACTTTAACATATGAATTGCGTGTGTGTGTGTGGGGGGGGGCACAATTCAACCCATAATGGAATAGGTTCCTATTGGATGGCAACGCCTAATGGGGCACTGCCTGAGAATTTAGAACTTGCTTCTGGCATCCAAAGCCCTTCCCATTAAGTTGCTCCCCTCCCCTCTTTGGGGACCACCTCTCCCATACTGAACCCATAACGGGTACCTGTAATCACAGTTACTTCACCACCTCCACAGTCAATGTGACTTTGCAGTTCATCATTCACTTTGTTGCAGATGCACACGTGGGCACTTAAGGGAAGTGTCATATCTTGATGTGTTTGCATTGCTAGTAATAATGATTTAATAAGCTTAAAACCAATATTCAATTGTTTGTTGTAAGTAGGGTAGGGATTGAATTAAGAAAATGACTTCAGATGATGGGCAAAAGGAACAAAGACAAGAGAGAAGTGGATCAGAGAAACCCAAACTCTGTGGCAGAACACACCACCTAAAGCCTGGCCCTTTTAGAATGAGGGGATTATCTTGCTGGAACTTTACCCCTCCCCCAGCATGACTCCACTGCAAGGTCACTGAGCAGGCAAGGTTCACCCATGGGGCTGCGGTCTCAAGGAGAGTGAGTGCTTTTGGGGAGTTAGGGAATGAAGAATGTTAAAACCTCGTTGAAGGGAGAAAGGGTCCCTCAGGACTAAATAAAGGGAAAAATATCTCCTTTCTCTTTTCACCTCAGTCTGGTCAGAAGGTCAGTCCATGTGAGCACATGGCTTCTTGGGTGTTAATTGCCACTCCTGTGGTTTGTGTGCATGGCCTAATTGGGGTCTTCTTTGACATCCAGCTCCTGGACTGTGTTCCTTATCCCATTCTGTGTTTGTGTTAAGATCATAAATAACTTAGAGAAATACTAGTAAAAGGTAAATCAGTTTAATTAATGAAGTTAAAGAAATAATTTGGTTAGAAAACACAAGCCCAGCAAGAACCCTGATATAAGGGTTAACCTTCCCCCTCCATTAGACTGATGATGAAAACAATGGTGTATGCAATAAAAATGGAGCTAGCCTGGAGCAAGGGGCAGTCTACTGGGTCCTCATACTTTGAAGGTGGTCAGCCACCTTGACCCAGCTGCTCTTTATTTATTTAGTTTTTGAGATGGAGTCTCATTATGTCGCCCTTGGTAGAGTGTTGTGGTGTCACAGCTCACAGCAACATCAAATTCTTGGGCTTAAGCAATTCTCTTGCCTCAGCCTTCCAAGTAGGTGGGACTACAGGCACCTGTTGTTTAGCAGGCTCAGGCTGTGTTTGAACCCGCCAGCCTGGTATATGTGGCCAGAGCCCTAACCACTGCGCTATGGGCACTGAGCCCCATCTACTCTTTAAAAAACTTTCTCTTCATGTCTCGACTCTTTATTTTTTCCTTCATCCTCTCATCTCCACCAGCCAGTGGGAGGGAACTCATGGCATAGTTTGAGGCTGGTCCCCAACACTTTATAGATTATCTTGGGCCCCACTCAGACTGTCCCTTTTGGTCATTAAAGAGTTTATCTGTATCTTTGCCAGTAAGAGAACAGAGAAAACAAGTCAGCCCCAGGTAGTAAGTAGCTTGGAAACCAGTTTCTAGATGAGATTTATTTGGGAAAATGTATGAATTTTAATTACTGCTCTCGCTTCGTTATCCAAGGGCAGAGCCTGTAAATGGGGTCCCTGGGACCTGGCCAGCAGAACTCGTTTGTGTCACACATGTAACTAGCAAACTGGCTACTCCTCAGTGCATGGGGTGCCCTGTTACTTTGGCTCTATTGTGATCCAAGAGCTGAGGTCTTGCCCATGGGCTATGTCACTGAATCTTCATCAACATATGCTCAGGTCCATATTTATGTCCCCATTTGATAGATGAGGAAACTGAGACACAGACCAGTTAAGTAATTTACTATCTCCAATTTGTAAAAGGGAAAATAGAGATCCAGACCTTTGTTTGCCACCAAAGCTGTAGCTCTGAACCAGCTTGTCTAACAGCTGAACCTCACCTCCCTGTATGATGTGCCGAAGATTCTCCCTTAGAACACTAATGGAGAGTGAGATGATTCTGCTTCACATAGGAGGCTTTTCTGAGTTGGAGTTTTCTGAGTTGAGGGAGGCTTTCTGGATTGAGGGAGGCTAATCGTTCCATTTTAACACAATTTAGCAGAATTTATAAGCAATACACCACCCATTTGTACTAATAAAACAATAGCATTACTTACCTTAAAAGATAAATTTGAGAAAGCTTTTTCCCTTGCTTGGTTTAGATTGGTACCAGTGATCATGGATGGGTTTTAACAAAGAAATGACTGGAAGCATTTTCCACTTATTAAAGTTTATTAAGTACAAAGAAATGACTCTGCAGAGGGGGACATCAATAAATATAAAATACACGTGAAATATTGGGGCAGTCACAGACCACAGTGTCAGTAAGCATATGTGAGGAAGGCAGGGGACTCTGCAACTCAGACACCCCTACGTGTGAGCTGATGGTCAAGAAACCTTCCCTCCGCCCACCTGGGGAACTCATGCACCAGCATGAGCACAAAGGGCTGTGAATTCAGTGATAGATCTTGAGGAGAGATGTGATGCCAGATTCCTGAGATTTCTCCCTAATTGCCATTTTTGGTTTCTGCTCTTTCCTTCCCTCTGTCCTTAAGTAGTTTTATTTTTGATCTCTATCCCAGCCTATGGAACATGAATGTATAAACGCCTAAGCAGGGCAGGTCAGTCTACTCTGGATGGGGGATTGCCTTTGTCTAGGACCCTCTTCAGCATAATTAGAACTTGTATAATTACTTTACACACAACTGGAAGGGCAGTGGAGTGGATGCTGTTATAATCTGGAAATCCTTTGGGAAACCTTTGGGAACCAGCATAAAAATCAGTTACGCCCAGAGCTGATGACCTGCAAAACCTTCTTTTCTATTGATTTAGCTGCTGCAAATTGGTTCAATTCATTCCCCAGAGAAGGGAATTTGACCCTGGTTCACTTGCTTCCATCTGGAATGAGAAAGTGCAAGAAGATGGTGGGGAGGACACCATCTTCCGCTTTACTCCGACAACCTCTAGTGTATGCAGTCGCCTGCCCTAACCCTCCTTCTGGTGCAAATGCCTGAGTATATTGTTCCAAAACAAATGTTTTTCACTGGTCTCCCTTTTCTCTGCCTCCCGATTTCCAATAGACAGCTATCTTGAGCCCAACCCAGGGAAGAGTCTGTTCCCTATTTTCTCTCCTTTCTGTCACTGTCTTCTCTCACCAAGGATAGGGAACACCCGGGGCCAGGCAGCACGCGCGCACACACACACACACACACACACACACACTCTTCCACTCTGTTGCTGGCTCAGAAGAGTGTGAGGAGCCGCTGCAACCAGCCTGACCCTTTCCATACTGGGGGGCCTGGGCATGCACTCATCCTTTACCCCAGGAGGGAAAGAGCAAGGAGCTGCCAGGCCACCAAGCTTCTGCTTTAGCTCAGGCAGTGTCCCTAACCCGGGTTTTACCTGCTAGGTGGTTCCAAGTTTCCTAAAGTTAGGGGTGTGGCACTAGATTTCTGAGGCAGGTACTTCACAAGCCATTTCCTTCCATACTTTTTCATATCATATTTTCCACGGAAATCCCACACTCAAAGTGGGGGGCAATAGGTAAGACCTCTGAGATAGAATTACCAGTTTATCATAATAATGAGTTGTGTATATTTTTAACCTATAGGGAAAGAAATACTGAGATCTCATAAAGCTGACCTTACCCTGGCTACCAGCATGGGGCTGGGAACATGGAGGGGACAGAAGCAAAATGATGGAGACCTGGGCACTAGGGACACTGTAAACAGTAACAGAATTGGCTGCTTGTAGGATTGATTGTTCAGGGACAAAAGGGACCCTGCGGTTGGCATTGGAGGGGGGAAGCTCCCTCCTGCCTTTACTTTGTGATATATTTACACTAGGCAGTGAAAAAAAAAATCCCTGTACTGCAGAATGGAAGCGAGACGTGTATGGCATCTCGTTCACTGGAGGCTGCGTGGCATTGTCTGGGTGTGGGGGACACACTATTTCCTCTGAGCTGCATCATTCATAAGGCATTATTTGGTTTGATTTTGCAGTTGGTGTAATGGGAATATAAAATCATGCCAATAAGAAGCTGTTATGGATACTTAAGACTTTGGGACCACCTGCAAACTAAAGAATCTCTAAAAATGGTTCAGATCTAAGAAGGGCCTGCCCGCAAGCATATTCACAGTCATGGAATGGGCATATGGGGTGGGGGGCAGGGCAGGCTTCTATCTGCACTGACAGACAAGTGCCAAGATGTAAAAAATGGAAAAACGGTGGGTGTTTTAAAAAATATTACTCAAATAAAAGTCGACTGATACACACTGCTTTGAAGCCCGTGCAAACCACTTATTTACAATAAACAAACGCTCTATTCAGAGCCTGAGTGTCAACTGAATTACAGCTGGAGCATGGTAGGGGGGTCTGTTCTCTTGGGGGCACCTCTTCTGCAATCTGGAACCCAGGACCTTGGCTTCATCTGTCTTCTCACCGGAGAGTCTTCAGAGACAGCTGTGGAAAAGGAGAGAACGTTACTGGGTGGGGTTAGAAAACTCTTGCCCAAGAAAGACCCCGACCCGGCAGCCAGGGCTGAGCCCTGCAGCTTCTCCTCACTCATGCAAGGCTGCCAAGGGAGACGCATCTGCCAGGGGCTGAGTCTTACTCAAGGGGCCGTGGTGGAAAAGGGATGGAATGGGATATGTAGCGAGGACCTGATGCTGTCCTATGAACATTTCTAGGACCAAGTATTAGCAATTCACTTGACAGAAAGCTCGGGGAAAGCAAAGAAATTGCTGAAGAACCCAAGTCAAGGCAATGCAAAGGAGAGGAAAGAACCGCGGCCTTCCAGTCCAGGGAGCTCACACTTGCACTGATCACTGCATCCGGAAAAGAAGAAAGCGCCCCCTAGGGTCCTGTCTGCAATGTGTAGAGCTCAGCGATTTCTCTGGGCAATTGCTCTGTGTCTCATTGCAGTACAAATGAATTGTGATGGTATCCAGCAAGACATAAAAAAGATCTTTACTGCGGATTGTCCACAGCAGACTTTCTGGTGCAGCCTTGACTAGTCTGCTATGGGCAGAGATCAAAACCACCAGTGATTTAGATGTGTGCTGGCCATGAGGCTGGGGACCAGTTCCTGCACAATATCTGACACAGCTTTGCCACACTGATAGTCAGGATGACTCTTGTCTTTGTAGATTCTGACATGCCAGGAAAAGCAGTGAAGTTCAGTGGAAGCAACTCTGGATGAGAGGTCAGAACGTCTGGGCATCATGGCATCCAGCAAGTTCTCTTCAAGCTTATGGAGTGGTTTTCCTTTCTGTAAAAACGGCTTCCATCCCAGGGTTATTAAAAGGATCGAGTGAAGTAACATGTGCAAGTTAACTGAAAAATGTAAAGAGCCCAATAAATACAGAGGATGATGATTATAATTACTGCTGTATTTTTCTGATGACAGCAGTAATATATTCATTGTAGAAAATTCGGTAATTACAGAAACAGGCAAAGAAGAAAGTAAAAATCAGTTATAATCTTCTAAAATGAATGCTTATTAACAAATTTTTTTCTCCAATATTTTTTATTATGGTAAAATACACATAACATAAAATTTACCATCTTAACCTTTTTTTTTTTTTTTTGCAGTTTTTGGCCAGGGCTGGGTTTGAACCCGCTACCTCCAGCATATGGGGCTGGTGCCCTACCCCTTTGAGCCACAGGCACCGCCCCATCTTAACCATTTTTAAATGCACCGTTCAGGGGCATTCAACACATTCGTAACATTGTACAACCATCACCACCGTCCAACCCTGTTTAACTCTTTCCGTCTTGTCAAACTGAAACTCCATACCAATTAAACAATACCTCTTAATTTCTCCCTCCTCTTCACCCCTGGCAACCACTATTCTACTTTCTGTCTCTGATTTTGACTACTATATACCTAACATAAATGGAAACACACACATATAGTATTTGTCTTTTTGTGACAGGCTTATTCTCTCTGCACAATGTCCTCAAGGTTCACCCGTATTATAACATATGTCAGAATTTTTCTCCTTTGTGAGGCTGAATCATAGTCCATTGTATATGCATATATCATATTTTGTTTACACATTCATCCAGGAGCTGCTTCCCCATTTTGGCTATTGTGTATAATGCTGCTATGAAATTGGGTGTACAAGTATGTTTTCCAGGCTTCCACTTTTGATTTCTTGGGGTATAGACCCAGAAGTGGAAGTTCTGAATCATATGGTAATTCTATTTTTAAGTTTTGAAGAATTGCTATACCATTTTCCACAGCAGCTATGCCAAAATGTCACAGTCTCACTGACAGTGCACAAGGGTTCACATTTCTCTACATCTTTAACCCGTTTTTTAATTTTTTTTAATCAGCCACTCTGATGTGAGGTGGTGTTTCATCATAATTTTGATTTGCATTTCCCTAATGATTAGTGATATTGAGGATCTTTTCATGTTTTTAGTGGCCATTTGTATATCTTCTTTGGAGAAATGTCTATTCAAGCCCTCCTTTGGTTTGGTTTGGTTTTTGTTGCTGAGTTTTAGAAGTTCCCTGTATCTTCTGGATATTAATTTTTTATCAAATATATGACTTGCAAATATTTTCTACCATTCTGTGGCTCACCTTTTTACTACTGATGTTGTCTTTTGATGCACAAATTTTAAAAATTCTCATGAAGTCTAGTTTACTCTTTTCTTCTGTTGCCTTTGGTATCATATCCAAAAAGTCACTGGTGAATCCAATGTTATGAAGCTTTGTTGTTGTTGTTGTTATGAAGCTTTTTCCATGTTTCATCTTAGAGTTTTATAGATATAGGTCCTACATTTAGGTCTTGGATCCATTTTGAGTTAATTTTCATATATGGTGTTAGTAAGGCTTCAACTTTATTCTTCTGAAAAGTATATCAAGTTTTCCCAGAACAATTTGTTGAAAATACTATCCTTTCCCTACTGAATGGTCTTACCATCCTTGTCAAAAGTTAGTTCACCATAAATGCAAAAGGCTTACTTCTGGGCTCTTTGTTCTATTCTGTCTGTCTATATGTCTTTCTGCCAGTACCACACAGTTTTGATCATGGTAGTTTTATAATAAGTTCTGAAGTAAGAAACATTAGTCCTCCAAATTTGTTCTTTTTTTTTGAGGTTGATTATCTCAAAGGGTCCCTTGAGATTCCATGTGAATTTTAGGATGAGTTTTTCTATTTCTGCAAAAAATGTCCCTGAAATTTTATTAGGGATTATACTGAATCTGTAGATTGCTTTTAGTAGTACTGACATCTTTAGTCTTGCAATCAACTCATGAACATGGGAAGTGTCTGCTATTTTTGTCTTATTAATTTTTTTCAGCAATGCTTTATAACTTCGTTGTACAAATTTTTAGCTCTTTGGTTAATTGCTAAGCATTTTATTTTATTTTTGATTATTTTATTCTATTCTTTTTATTTTATGTATTTGAATTGTCCTGTCTTAAAGTTTGCTGATTCTTTCTTCTGCCTGCTCAACCAGCTCACATCTGCCTTTCATTCTGTCTGGTGAATTTTTCATTTCAGTTGTGTTTTTCAGCTCCAAAATTTTTTTTGCTTTTTCCCCCTATCTCTTTATTGTTATTTCTATTTTTATCATACACCATTTTCTTGGCTTTCTTCATATTTTTCTTTAATTCTTTGACTATCTTTAAGATAGTTGTTTAAAAGTGTTTGTCCAACAGAATTGCCATCAGGTGTTTTTAAGGGGACAGTTTTTGTTGATTTATCATTTTTTTTGAAAGGGCCATACTTTCCTGCCTTTTTTTTTTGCAGTTTATGGCCAGGACTGGGCTTAAACCTGCCACCTCCGGCATATGGGGCTGGTGCCCTACCCTTTTGAGGCACAGGTGCCACCCCATTTCCTGCTTTTTTGTATGATGTAATTTTGTTGTTGCTGAAAATTGTGTATTTGATTCCAATTATGTGTTAACTTTGGAAATCAGATTCTCCCTATGCCCTGGGGCTTCCTGTTTTATTGTTATCATTGTTGTTTTTATTTATCTTATTTTCTGATTGTTATAGATTGTCTCTGTGGCAAGAACCAGCCTGAGGTATAATCATAAGATCTTCTCAGGTCTTTTCTGAGCCTGCACCTTATCTTAGGCATCTCTGGTCACTTTCTCATTTTCCCAATATATGTAGTTGTTTTTCTTTCTTTCTTTCTTTTTTTTTTTTTTTAGAGTGCTATGGTGTCATAGCTCACAGCAAACTCAGTATCTTGGGCTCAAGAGATCCTCTTCTCTCAGCCTCTTGAGTAGCTGAGACTACAGGTGCCCTCTACAATGCCTGGCTAGTTTTTCCTATTTTAGTAGAGACGGGGTTTCACTCTTCCTCGGGCTGATCTCAAACTCCTAAGCTCAAGCACTCGGAGGTGGGAGGTTGGGGGTGGGGCTAAGACAGACACAAAGAAACCCCTTCCCTTCCTCCTCCTCCTTTTCCTCCTCTCCTCCTAAGACAAGACACAGAGGATCTAGCTAGCCCCCCGACCAGAAGTTCCCACTAAAGGACCCTAATTTTCCAGGCAAGCTGTGGAATTTGCCTGGCCCCTATGGTCTCTAACTGTCCCCTGGGTACAGATACCATCTTTGCACTACCTAAGCAGGTTACCCTTCCCTTTCAATAAACCTGGCCTGAACATCTCTGCCGTGGCCTTGTCTCTGGATGCCATCGTTTACACCTTTCATATAGCGTTGAAGACCCAGGGCTGGTGGCTGACTGCCAGCCTCCCTGGTCACCCCAGTTTTCTCAGAACCCAGTCCAGCTGTGCCCAGACCCAGCTCCACTGAGTCACCTGTCTGAGAGTCCTAGAGGATTTTGACCTAACTTCCATTCAAATGTGAGTAATGTCTTTAAATAACGTCAAATAGAACCTCTCTCAGCTTACTCTTTGGCTCAGTCCCTGCCCTATGTCCTCATGTCCCCCTTGCTGCTTCTCCATTTGTTCATTTGTGCCTCACTAGAGGGTTCTGTCCTAGTGTTGTGCTCTCTTTTGGGATCCAGGACCTCAAATTGTTTTGTTTTTCATTTTTTGCTTTAAGCCCAGGGCAGGGCCCTCTTTTAGGCTTTTAAGGTCCCAGGAACCTTAAGTTCTCTGAAAAAAAAGTTCTCAGAGAATGTTCACTTGTCCTTTCTCAGTCTTTCTTCAGTTTTTGCTCCTGGTTCTTGGGAAACAAGGGATGGTTTCTTTTCTACCCAGGTAGGGGAAGAACATCTGAGACATGGGACCTGGCCCTTCCACCCCCCTCAACAGAGACAACCCAGGAGTGTCTCCTTCATCTTCAATACAAATTAGAAAACAGAACCTTTAATTTCAATATCTGAAAGAACTTAAGTAATTTCCTGCAAAACAAATGGCAGATGGAACAAAATCCCCTATCTTTGGGCCTTTCTCTACCTCTACTCTTAGCCTGCCCTACACAAATCACGCCTCCAACCTCTCCCCTCTATCTTCCCAGCTCTTCCTGCCTGTCTTCCCTCCTCCTGGGATGTCTCGAACTCTTACTGCTCTCCACTGCCTAACCTGCCTCCAAAGCCTCAGTGCCTTATGCTCGCCCTCGCCCCTTTGATCTCACAGCCTCTCCATCCCCTCCAACCACGTGCTCTTCCCCCAAGTGCCTGGCCTGAGGGGCTGCTGGTATAAGACAGGGAACTGTGAGGCTGCAGATCCTGTGATTGCCAAGCTCCCCTGGACTGGCAGCTCCCAGCAGCTCCTGAGGCAGTGGTGTGGGAAGCCATGTGCATTCCCTAGGCTATAGCTGACACAAGCAGGGTGCACCTGCCATGGCAGGCCAGGGAGTTGACAGCCCCTGCAGCTGCCTTGCCCTCCACCCTTCATGGACCTCTGTCTGGTCCATAACCAGCTCCCACTGCCTCCCCATCAACTTCCCTCTGCCCACAGGCTTCAGATGGAGAGAGGATAGAGAAAGAGAGAAAATGGGACTGACAGCAGCCCCAATAGCAGAAAAGTTTTTCAATAGTGGCTGCCACTTTATTTTTTTATTTATTTATTTTTTTTTTTGAGACAGAGCCTCAAGCTATCCCCCTGGGTAGAGTGCCATGGCATCACAGCTCACAGCAACCTCCAACTCCTGGGCTCAAGCGAGTCTCCTGCCTCCACCTCCCAAGTAGCTGGGACCACAGGCGCCCGCCACAACGCCCGGCTATTTTTTGGTTGCAGCCGTCATTGTTGCTTGGCGGGTCCGGGCTGGGGATTTGAACCCGCCACCTTAGGTGTACCTGGCTGGCGCCTTAGCCGGTTGAGCTATAGGCGCCGAGCCGTGGCTGCCACTTTAAAATGTCTCCAGAGATAGCTACTCAAAAGGCCCAAGTGAAAAGACCAAGCCCTTCTCCAGAACAGAGCCCTGTCCACCACTATGACTCTGGGTTCCCAAAATAAAATGCCCCAAGAGAAATAGTTCACTAAAACCCTGGAACTGTGTCTTCTCCACAAAGGAGAAAGGCACTAGAAGGGGAGAGTATAATTGCCTTAAACCAGGAGATTATATTCACCTTCTGGAACCAGTGGTCCCCTGAATCAACATCCGTACCCTTGGACCTGTGGGAGCAGCTTTCAGCTGAATGACACGTCTGACTTGAACAAGGGCTCAACTTCATCACACCAGGATGGCCTTAAGTAGCCTACTCTCTAACACAGGTAAGTAAATTAATTCTAATTATATCAAAGCCATGTCCTCTAGCCTTCCTAAATTTGAAAGACTTCTATTTCACTCTTCTATCTCCATCATTAAAATAAAAAAAAATTACAGCCCCTCTTTATGTATTCCACAGTTTCTCAGTTCTCTAAAAGATAAAGTTCTCTTTTATTTTGAAGTTGCCCTCCTCCCCATTTTAGAGGCTGATATTAATCCTGGCAGGGGAAAGGGACCTTTACACTTTTTACAAGACACCTGCTGTTTCTACACCACCAAGTCGTGGCTCTAGGAACAAGCTATCCACCTACACTCTCAAAATGAGGGACCCTGGCTCAACAGCTTGTGGGGAATGCTGGATCTTATCCTTCTAGGCCTCCGTGCTGCAATCCTCCTTTTATTAACCATTGCCCCTTGTGTCATCAAATCCCCGTCCTCATAATTATTCAAGACAGGGTAAAAAAAATGTCAGCCACCGTTGCCACCACTCCCAGTTTCTACCATTCCCAGACCCTCTCTCAATATACCCCAAACCTGTGCAGCCCTACCAACACCTGATTCATCCCACTGAGGACAACTACTACCCTATCCAGCCAGAAGCAATTTCAGAAGACAGACCATTGTCCCCATCACTACTTTTAACAGGAGTTGGAAATGTTGGGGGGCCTAACACAGCCACACACAAACTTTCCCCCCTCCTCCTCCTCCTAAGACAAGGATGCAGAGGATCTGACTAGCCCCATCACCCACAAGTTCACACCAAAGGACCCCAACTTTCCAGGCAAGCTATGGAATTTGCCCACCCACTATGACCCCATATAAAAGTGGTCTCTAACTGCCCCTTGGGTGCAGATGCCATCTTTGCACTGCCCAAGCAGGTCACCCTCCCCTTTTTCAATAAACCTGGCCTGAACATCTCTGCTGCCTCCTCTTGGCACCATCATTTACACCTTTCACAATCCAATGGCCTCAGCCTCGCAGAGTGCTGGGATCACAGGCATGAGGCACTGGGCCTGGCTGTGGTTGCCTCTGAATGTCTCAGTCTTTAATGTTTGGTTTCCAAAGGGGAAAGAAAATAAAAAAATAATGAAGGGAGGAAAAGAAAGGATATCAGTCCTTCAAATTCCCTGAAGGCCACTTCAGGGGAAGGGGTGTGGGGCTGAGGGGTTTGGGGGTATATGTGTGGGGTGTTGCAACAATAGGGGGAGGTGCTGAAACAATGGCTGCCTACATCTTTATTTGCACCTCTGTGGTCAGAACCAGCAATGAGAATAGATCCCAATATTTGAAAGAGAGGTTTTAATTTTGCAAGCTTGGCTCCGGCAAGCTATGTGCCAGGCTCTCTAAGAACCCCTACACAGCTGCCTGCCCTGGGGCTGGGGGTGGGGACTAGGTGGCTGCTGCAGTGCTAAGAGCTGAAATTGACCAAGGTTTACTGAAATTTACCATCCAAGCCTTAGAAAGTTGCAGGCCTTTAATAGATCCCAGGATTCCAAAATACATTGTTAGGTGTAGTGGCACACACCTGTAATCCTAGCCATCTGGGAGGCCGAGGCAGGTGAATTGCTTGAGCTCAGGAGTTTAAGACCAGTCTGAACCAAGAGTGAGTCCCAGACTCTACCAAAAATAGAAAAACTAGCTGGGCTTTGTAGCTGGTGCCTGTAGTCCCGGCTACTTGGGGGTCTGAGGCAAGAAGATCGCTTGATTCTAGGAGTTTGAAGTTGCTGTGAGCTATGATGACACCACTGCACTCTAGCCTGGGACAATAGAGTGAGACTCTGTCTCAAAAAAAAAATTGTGTACATTCCTCCTGTCTTTTTTCCTATGTATATGTACTTCTCCCTTAATGCCAATTATATGTAGTGAACCTGTGATCACTTAAGAGTGGCCGTTGAAATTTTTGGATTAGCCGTGGTTAGAAAAGTGGGATGCTTGCCTGCTAGAGTAATGGTCCCCAACCTTTTTGGCACCAGGGACTGGTTTCATAGAAGGTCACTTTTCCATGGATGGGGACCAGGGGTGTAGTTCTGGGATGATTCAAGCACATTACATCTCCACCTCAGATCGTCAGGCACTAGATTCATAGGGAGCTGCAGCCTAGATCCCTCACATCTGCAGTTTACAGAAAGGCTCACTATCCTTTGAGAATCTAATGCTGCTGCTGCTGCAACGGGAGGTGGAGCTCAGGTGGTGAAGGGAGCGATGGGGCGTGGCTGTAAATGCAGATGGAGCTTCACTTGGCAGCCTGCCATACACCTGCTGTGTGGCCCGGTTCCTAACAGGTCACAAACGGGCTGACATCATCTCCGCCCAGGTCAGGAAGCACTTCTATCCAAGTTGCCCTGGGGGAGATACAGGTGTTTCTTCAGAGACTGTCTGATCACCTGGCCCCTCTCCGGCTTCCTGTCTAGCTCTGTCAATTTCTGGCAGCCACCATGACTTACTGGGTCAAAATCATGATACTATAGATGGGGACAAAAGTCCAAATGCTGAAAGAAACCACATATTCCACAGATGACAGAACAGTGAATTATGTTTTATAAATGTCCTAGGGTTTTCTTGCAAGCCTTCATAGCAGCGGGGACTGGGGACCGAGAGCCATGATTGATGCAGAAAGATTCCAAAGGATTTCTGAGTTGTTGATTTGCTTCTGTGTGTGGTGGTGATTCCAGGGGAGCCCCCTTCTCATCCTTCTGATTTAGAAATTGTTGGGTGTTTCATTCCGGCTTGAAACAAAGGTCAACCAAAAGGCTTTCCCTAAGGGAAAGGAGTCTGAGGAAAAAGCTCAAGCTGTGAAGGAGAGCACATACCCTCGGCATTTCTGTGCACCCAGAGAAGAATTCCTGCTTTTACATTCGGAGAGGAGGGACATGTTACCTGAGAATTTCTGCCTTTGATGTCATCAGAGCTCTGTGTGGCTGCCTCGGCCGGGAGCCAGGGACCAGGTGTACGGCCTGCAAGAAACAAGAACCCTCTCACCAACTACCGGCCCAGGGACTGGCTGTGCCCGCTTCACGGAGAACCTTTCCCTAAACCAGCGCTTAGAGCAACGACAAAGGGACAACAGTAATGTGAGCCCATCCACCTGAAACCTCCAGGCTCCTGGCCCCAGACCGTGTGTTTCCACCCTTCTTCTATGTCACAGACTGTGGATAAAGAGAAGTCACGTCTGATATGCTGGGAGGAGATCAGCTTATTAAGGCCCATCATCCGCACATATGTTGAGAATTTGTTTACTCAAAACAAAGATCTTTCCAGGTCTGCTCAGGGTTGGTTAAAAAGTTAGTTAAAAAAGTTAACTGCAGATATAAACAGGGCTTCTGTTCCATGAAGATCCAAATCATTCTCTAAAATATATTATGTTTAAATATTATGCTAGTTACATATGAATATATTCTCAGTTAAGAATTCAAAGAGCTGGGCAGAGCCTGTGGCCCAAAGGAGTAGGGCGCTGGCCCCATATGCCGGAGGTGGTGGGTTCAAACCCAGCGCCAGCCAAAAACTGCAAAAAAAAAAAAAAAAAGAATTCAAAGAATTCAGAAGGAGATAATGCAGTGGCTCTCAACCTTCCTAATGCTGCGAGCCTTTAATACAGTTCCTGTGGGTTGTAACCCACAGGTTGAGAACCGCTGAATAATGGAAAAAAAATCTCCCAAAGTTCCTCTGCCTGTCCTTTTCCTAATTTCATTTTTCTATTCCAGAGTCATCAAGGCTAAAAGTTTGGTATTTGTTTATCCTTCCAGATTATTTTTTCTTTATGGTGTTCACATACATCTATCTACATATATACAGATATATGGTTTGGTTGGTCTACCCAAGTTTTAAACCTACATTTTTAGGTGTTTGAGAACTTTCCCTTCAGTTGGGTGTTCTGAGCAGTGTCTGCTGGGATCTCCTCTGCTGTCTTTGGTATGAGGTTTTTCTGTTTTACCATGAATGAGGCATTACATAACCATGTCCCCAAGTCCCCAGAACAATCCAGGTTGCTGTGCTACTTAAAAAGTGACATAAATGGCATAAATGTTCATCCTAAAAAATCATAATAACGAAAAACAGATAACCTGTGTCCAGAAGAAGTTTTTAGGTGATACAGAATTTAGTATCATTTGATACTAAGCAGTTGTTTGAAAGTTCACATAGATTCTTTTTGGGGAGAATCATAAAAAGCATGACCCTGACTATTTAAAAAGTTCATCAGAAACCCATAAATATTATACTAAAATGTTTCCTCCTGGGTGATAGAATTACCATTAAAAAAAAGACCTTTAAAAAGTATTTTTCAAGTTTTCTACAGTAACATATAATGCATCATAAACATCTTTTAAAGTAAGATACCCATTTTTAAACAAATTATCATGTAGAAGAGCCTCTGAAACTTTTAAAACAGTCATCAGATGGGAACTGTCATTTCCATTAAAACACATTTAAAATTAATGAGAGTTTATGTTCTAGAATAAAGATATTTTGGCCCAAGAGACATTGGTAGAGCTAGATGGTTAGCCGGTTTTTAAGTGAGTAAACAGTAAAAAGATGTTGATATACAGCCCCTGGCTTAATTTCATATGAGAGAACAGCCTTGGAAATTACTGTTCTTAGATTTAAGAAACTCTTGTCCTCTACAGAAAACATTCTAGGCCAAGGTTCTGCAACCTTGTCTTTATAATTCTTGGCTTGGGGGGCTGTCCTGTGTGCTACAGAATGCTTAACAGCATCCCTGGTATCCACCCTTGCCCATGTCCACGCTCATTTGTAACAATCAAAACATGACTCCAGACTTTGCCAAATGTCCCCATGGTTGGGCAACATCGTCCCTGTCTGGGAATTAGTAGGTAATAAAACAGGCTTCACCATAGATAAGCAGTTGTCACCAGTTTTGAGAGCTGCTCAAATGTGATAGAGGACAATATCCAAGAGGAGAATCAAGTAGGGGGAGAATCAGTTTCATCATAAAACACAAAGGCAAACTCTGTCTCAAAAAAAATTTCACTGCTGCTAGGAATGAGTGGCTGGGACTTAATGTTAGTCCAAGTGCTATTAATCCAAATCTCTCCTTACAGGGATTTTTCCCTCGTGCGATGCCTCTAGAATCTCTCAGAATTCAAAAGTAAAGCCCTTCTGCTGAAGTAGCCCTTCACGCAGGCTGCTTTCCCACACGAGGGCATTCCAGATTCACCAAAACAGTGTTTGCCAAATCTGTGGCACCCTAACTCCCGGGAAGAAAGAGAGTTTCCATCTCTCCCCAATCTCAAGCACCTACCACTCTTCCAGAGCAGACTGTGTGAACGTTGATGCCGCCTCTTGTAAACAGACAGCCCCTCTTCCCCCCCGTGAAGATAGCTGTGGGTACAAGAGCGGTTGAAGGAGCCGCCTGGTACAGGGCAGCCTGCCATGAAAGACTTCCCTGAACTGAGGGATTTATGTGCCTGGGCTGAACAAGAAGCAGCCAGGGGGCCATGCTGGTTTCCAACCTTATTTTTCGTCATTTGTAAATCAACCAAGCCCTGTATCTTTTTTCCAGGCACAGAGAGATCTTCATGTCAGAAAACAAAAATCCACTTTGTAGCCAAACAACAAGGGTATGATGAACACTGTGGGACTTGGGCAATGTCCCGAAAGGCTTTAAAACCTGGCTGGCCATGGAAGCCGTGTCTTTCTGAGAGCCTTGGTAAGACACCTACCAGGCTGGGCGGTGGTTCCTGTGAGCAGGGAAAGGGGACTTGGAAGAAAGTGGGCTCCTATAAGGAGCAGAGCTGTCGGATCTGGACCAAAACAGCCTGTCCCAGCTGCGGTCCTCTGGCATGAGAGTGAAGGGGCAGGAGAGGTGGTGAGAACACTGTGCCCGGAGCAGACAGCCTGGCTCCAGCCCTGCTTCACCACCGTTGAGCAGGGGCAGGCCACTTGATTTCTGCTGTGGTTTCTTTGGCTGAGTATTAAGGAGTTGCCCTGGATGACCTCAAAGGGCCTTTCCTGTTCTTACTCTGGAGGCTTCTTACAAGACTAAACGAAGGACGTGACAGATTTCATTGGAAATGAGAATTCTAGTATCTGCCAGACCTAAACCTTAGAAATTGCATTATCTAGCCTTTTCCCTCATTCCCCACCATCGCTGTCATTTGAGAACCACCCACCATTCCGTCCTCACCTGGACCCCCTCTGTAGAGAACTGAGGCCACCCCCCAATCCTGAGAAAGTCACCTTGTATGTCCTGGGGCCTCACTGCCCTCCCCACAGGTGCTCAGCCAAGGTCTGGGCTAATTATATTCTGTCCTCCAATAACTTGTGATCCAAAAATTAGTTCTCATGATTAAAAGCAATACACAATTTTTTTTTTTTTTTGAGACAGAGTCTCAAGCTGTCGCCCTGGGTAGAGTGCGTGGTATTGTAGCTCACAGCCGCCTCCAACTCTTGGGCTCAAGTGATCCTCTTGCCTCAGTTTTTCTATTTTTAGTAGAGACAGGACCTTATTTTTGTTCAGGCTGGTCTTGAACTCATAAGCTCAAGCAATCCACCCACCTTAGCCTCCCAGAGTGCTAGGATTACAGGTGTGAGCCACTGCGCCCGGCCCCAATACACTCTTACTATAAAAACTTGGACAAATTAGAAAAGAAGAAAATGAAAATAACCCAGCATTCAACCATTGAGTGATGGCCACTTTTAATATTTTGGTGTATACATTTCTAGTCTCCTCTACTTTATTAACTCCTTTCTACACAGATACACTATTTTTTTGAAAAATTTAGATTTTATTTTATGTGCTTTTTGTGTATTTTTTGGTATTGTTTTTAGTTAACAAGGTAGTGTAAACATTTTCCCATGTCACTGAATATTGGATGACACTGTTTTAATGGTCATACAGTATTCCATCGTGTGGCTCTGTCTTAATCTAATTCCATTGCTGGAGTTTATGCTAGATCCAGAATTTTTATTGTGTAAATGGTTTAGCAATGCATATATTGAGTGAACATCTTTACTGATTAATTTAACAAGTATTTATGGAATGTCCACATGCTTCACTGGAGATAAGCCAGTGAAAGGAAACGGAAGCAGTTCCTGCCATTTAGGGCCTCACGAGGGCCAGGCAAATAAAGTCAAGAGGTGAGAAATGCTTTGAAGACAATTTTAATAATAAAAAAAAGGCATGAAGAGAATAAAAAGTGACAGGGCAGAAAAAGCTTCTATTTTACGAAGGGCAGTCAGGGAAGACCTCTCTGATAAGGTGTTGCTATAACTGAATTATGTACCCTCCAAATTCAAATGTTGAAGGTTTACAGTGATGATATTTGGAGATACAGCTTTTAGGGCATAATTAGGCTTAGGTGAGGTGACCAGAGGAATTGTTCTCTCTTCACCACATGGGAGTACACAGTGAGAAGGCAGCCTTCAGGAAGCCAGAAAATGAGCCCTCCCCAGAAAGAGTTGGCTGGCACCTTGATCTTGGACTTCTCAGCCTCCAGAACCAAGATAAAATATATTTCCACTGTTTAGTCACCCAGTCTGTGGCATTTTGTTATGGCAGCCTGAGAATACTCAGCCAGACACCACTTGATCAAAGACCCATAGGAAGTAGGGAGAGAGTCGCATGGATATCTAGGGAAAGTGTCTTATACAGAAGAAACAGCAAATACAAAGAGTCCAGAGGCAGGAGTGTGCTTGGAATGTTCTAGAAATTGCAGGTGTTGATGGAGCCAAATGAAGTGGGAGGAGAGTGGTGGAAGAGGAAGGAGAAGTTCATGTAGGCCTTGAGCTATGATGAGAATTTGCAGTTGGCGTGGAGTGAGGTACACTAAAGGGTTTCACAGAGGGCTGCGGGACTGGGCCTAGGCTATAGACAAGTCACCTGGGCTGCAGCACCAAGCAGGGGAGCCTGTTAGCAGCTTCTGGCAATAATTTGGGTGGGAAATGATAGTGGCTTAGGCCAGAGCTGGAGTGGCAGAAGAGGTGAGAGAGATCAGAT